CCACGTCGTTAGTATTAAGTATAACATTATATGTAAGTGGATCTAGCATATACACTGAAAAGTAAAAAAAAAATCAATCATTGAATCACATCATCAATGAATCACATCAATCAGTATTTAACATGAAAATGTAAACAATAATAATAATAATTTGTAACCATAATTTTAAACTTCAGTTCAGGATGGTACAACAGGAGCAAGGCTTAATTCTGACTGAAAAGCTGTCACGTGAAACCCTGGCCAGGTTTTCGTGGTCGTCAGCAATTAATGAGTTGGCGCCGATCATGCCTGCAACAGTGGCATGCTTTAATGCCACATTGCCAGTTGCAAGGCAGATCACAAGGCAGACTTCCAGAGGACGGAAAGGCTGCAAAAGGTTACTTTTTTGTTAGGGATTTTTTGTAGTTTACTTCATCACAATAAATTTCATAACCAAAAAATACCATGTAATGTAATCACATGTAATGCAATATATGTAAATGATATGAAACAAACTGTGACCAACTCCCCTATAAACATCAATCACACTCACACTGTTCACACTACTATAATAGCTCAAAGTCATTTTCCTGCTAACAACACTCCGCAATTAAATGTCATGTGCAGACGATATCTTGACATATTTAATTGCAGGAACCTTCGACCACACGAGGTAAAGGCGGAGCAAGACAGGAGCCTTGGCCACATGCTTGCAGTAGCACTGCACAAAAAGTCGCCCAAAAAATTCAACTTCGTGCAGCAGAGTGTTGGTGTCGAGTTATGGCGGCAGGGAGCTCCACACAAGGTCTTCCGGACACTCTGTCACATGGGCATCAGCCAAGGGGTTGGAGGTGCACGGAATAACGTCGATCGGTTGGGAGCAGAGCACGATCAACAGCTCCTACTCTGGAAGCAGAATTTAGAGGTACAGTTAGTACACAAGTGCACTATGTCACTACATTGTTCATCATTAATTGGGGGTTCTCCCTGTGCCCCCTTTCATAAAGTCTTCTATGTAATGTATAACCTTCTTCGGTTTATTATTGTTAGTATCTGTCACGTAAGGCTCGTTATGTCCTATTCAAGGCTCCTGCGACTACAAGACGGAGCCGGATGTTAACGTACGACCAGCCATCGACCTACAGCTTTTGCCTCGACAACGTCCAGGCAGGGACAGAGGCTAAGCACCAGCACTCGCAGAGGTCAAACACGTTCCTGCTGATGACCATGTGTTTTGCTGTGAGAGATCGTGTGGCTCCCTCTCTAGATTCACCATTAGACGCAACAGTAAATGCCAGCGACCTGGACCCATACGCATTCCTGCCATCAGCAGATGTGTATGAGAGGAAGCGGACGCGCATGGTGTTCCTAGTAAAGCACATACTGGCTGACCACCTTGATCTACTGCGTGACCTTGAGACCAAGCTTCAACCTCGTCATCTGCACAAGTACTCAAAAGAAATGCAGGAGCGCTCTGAGTTTGTAAGTTTGTTATATTGTGCATGACAATGTAATGCAATTGTCCAATTTATCTCTGTTTTGCCATGCTTCTGGACTTGACCTTACACTTTTTTTTGAGTAAGTAACCATGCTGTATGTTATTGTTTTCGAATTCTAGGTAAGCATAGGAGTTGTCGATGCCAATCCTTCGACGACGTCTGGCATGGTCTCTGTGCTTGAGCACTTTCAGCAATATGTCGCAGTAAAAAAAGGCAAACCGGTTGAAAATTTGGTTGGTGGAGATGGCCTCTCTATAGAGCGCATAATCCATGCACAGCATGCGCGCAACAACGGTGAGAACTGGCATCACCGCCTGGATTCCATGTGGGCAGCACCCCAGGAATTCTATAAAGAAATTCTGCTTCTTCAGGTTAGTAATAAATATTTGCTGAAAACAGCTATAGATAAACATCTGAACAACAACAATTACCTTATAGCTAAATAAAATAAAATAAATTGGTTCACCAGCATGATCCATAAGGATTTTTCATTTCTCATTTTTTCAAATGAAAGCTTTATTTCTAATAAGTCCATTTATATATATATAAATGAAATAATACCATACATATCTAACTGTCTCATTTCTTCTCGTATAGGACTCCAATAACAGGTTTTTCGTTGGAGGAAGTATAGCTGACAGAGGGACTATTAGCCAGCTGAAATCAGACTTCAACCATCGAGCCCTTCGAAAGGATGTGATGTCCAACTTCCAGCATGTATGGGACATGTATGAAGTAAGTTAAAATGCAATACAATGAGGCAGCTCACAGAAGCAAACTCAATAGCAGCAATAATGTATACGAGATAGAGGCACAGCATGCATGCTTGCAATATTTTGTGCATTCAAACTGAGCCCATTTGGTCTTAAGAAATGGTTCACTTATTTATTTACAGTTTACTACAGATGGCTACGTGTTGCTCTGCGCTATGCAGCTGCAAAACACCACCATGCAAAGCTTCCCTAGCCAGGGAACGAGTGAAGACCAACTCGATTGGCTTCACCGACTCGCCCAAGAAGTGGTCGACTTCTGCTGGGAGCTACCGGACATGGATGGGATCAGGTGTGCAGCAAAAGCATATGCAGACGAATCACCAGACAGTGCTGTTGGTGACTCCGTTTTCTGCACGTGTCAAGCAGTTATGCGTATTATGCAAACTCAAGAAAAAACCTGTTTACCGAGAAGTAAAACTCAGACACAAGGATTAAATCAGAAATTGAGGTATTTTTCTATCTTTTTCTGGTTATAGAGAAAGACGATGTCATGATACTGTGCTGCAGCTTATCATGCAAAGTGGGCTGGTACCACATAAGTTGCGTGCAACTGAAGCAAGAGCCATCTTCTGATGAAGATTGGTACTGCAGCAGCGAATGCGCTGGTAGTTCCACTTACGTGTACTGCTCCTGCCACCACAAGTGTGCTGAAGATATGGTGCAATGCGCCCTGAAGCAGAATTGCAGGAATGCCGAGTGGTATCATAAGAGCTGCAAAGGGATTGCACAGGACGAATGTCTCCCAGGTAAACAGTGATTGTTTATCGGGGGTAAACTAGAGCCATCTTGTTGTGCTATTATTGAGAAAAAATGACATAATTATTTCAATCATTCCAGATGCATGGTATTGTGGTGAAGCATGCCATCTAGAGGCAGAAGGTGATGACTACGTCCTCAACCACACAAAGGCAATAATGTGGGAAGGTCTCTCGCACCTGTCTAGAAGGATGGCGGTGCGTGAAGGGGATGGTGCAGCAATGCTGGAAGATTGGAAGATCGACATGTTGCAATTTTGGAACAGGAACCATCCAAAATATTTCACAATTGCCCATCACTTCCTGGCATGTAAGTTTGCAAGCAAATCAAAGTTCATGTTGCTCTAAGTGTGAGAACGTATAGGGGAATACCGTTTTTTAAACAATTGACCACAAGGTTAGGTCTGTCAGCAATTTAAATTATTCTTCTATGTTTACAACTCTATAGGTGTAGGAGGATACGCCCCTCCACAAATAAGGCATCACCTCATGTGGAACAGGGTTGCCAACTTGAAGGGGAAACCAGGTGGCAACATTGGCCTGGACCTGTGTAATGAACACATTAATCGGGACTTCAAAGGTTTGTTGAGCGTACAACGGCTAAGCTTTGCTAAACCATGTTTTTTGTTTATTTCCTAGACACATAATAATGCAAACTATGAAATTCCCTGTTTACATTGTACATTTCTCAAACAGAACTGCTGGCCAACTCCAACGGCAACTACACTCCTCAGAAAGTGAAGAGATGTTCACAGATGTCCGGACCCTATGGCCGAACACTCGATGACGGGTTCACAGATGTTGGCCTCGTCGACATGAGAACTCCTAATCGTAAGCGCCGGCCAAATCTCTACAAAGCCGACGTGAGCCGGTTCGTGACAGAATATAGCAGCGACTCACTCTGCGACTACATTCCCGGGCGAGAGCACGATGCTTTCCCTAACTTTGAAGCACCCAACCAACTGTTCTCTCCAGTAAGGCTTGGTAGGAAACTGTACAAATTCTCACATGCCATGGATTCATGGCGTCAAATTAAAAATGTATAACCTACCTGGCATCTGTGGCTGTTCCAGCAACTTCTTGTCACATATACAGCAGCAGGAGTTTGGCTTAGAGCAGTTCTGCAGTGCATTATTGTCCATGCCAGGAGTGAAGAGGAACTGCAAAATTCTTTTGCGAAGGCATGTTTCATCAGCCTGTGAAGACAGCAATAACATGCGCATAGGCTCGTCAACTCGCCTCTTGTCTATGGAACCTGGGTAAATGTACATAATAGCACGTCCAGGTTTACCATCGCGCGCACACCTGCCCACTTCCTGCCAATACGTCATTATGTCAGCTGATGGGCCCCAGTGAATGACAATGTCAATGTTGGAAATGTTGATTCCCATGCCGAAGGCGATGGTCGCCACAACACATCGTAGAGCAGACTGTGCATCCACAACACTGCTGGCGATACGGGTGTGGCTGTCTGCATCCGTTGAGGAATGATACATCTCCACCACTCTGCTGTGAACATCACGCGTGCTGCTTGAATAGGCAGCAGACTCAAGCTCTAGCATCAGCCAGTGATAGATGGAAGCAACATGGTCCACTTGCCTGCAAATAGCGAATAAGCCTTTTGTAGCCACTCATTAGTAACGTTTATAATGACTATGCTGAAATTCTATGGGTATTCTAACCCTAGCAATACCGTTTCTTGGAGCTAGGGTTAGAATAGCTCCAAGAAACGGTATTTCTAGGGTTAGAATAGCTCATAGGGTCTATGTCCCCCAGGGTACTGCCGGAACGTACCCTGGGTACGCTCCGGTATACCGGAATGTACCCTGGTCACTATTTGATATGGTTAGGGTTAGAATTAGGGTTAGGGTTAGGGTTCGGCTTAGGGAGTAGGCGTAGGCGACTCCCTAGACTCGTTAGTGGAGTAGGCGAGGTACGGTTCGGCATATTAGATAGTACCAGGGTACGTTCCCGTATACCAGACCGTACCCAGGGTACGTTCCGGCAGTACCCCGGGGGACATAGACCCTCTCTCTAGTTTAGAAGCAGGACAACTGTGAGTTAACAGACAATATTTTTGACAAGGCAAGTCAAAGGTGCATGTAATAGAATAGTTTTATTTGAGATATACAGAGTTATTCATCTAGATCTGCAGAGGTGATATAGAGTTTTTTGTATGGAAGGGTGTCAGGCTGTATAGACAATCCGTCGCACAGCCTAGTCGGGCTAAGTCTATGTCTGTCTTAGTGTCTATGTCTGTCTTAGTGTCTATGCCTATGCCGGCTATGGCTGTCTTACTCTTAGCCACAAGTTCCCATCTCGCTTAACACACTGCGCCGTGTAACTAGTCGGAGAGCCTGGTCGGTTTATGGCTGTCTATGAGTATGACATTAACATGTCATTATGCTAATTGTTATCTATATAATAATTTGAGTAGTGTCGTTCTGTTTGTTCCTGCATATCTTCTAGGCGCGTGCACGAATCCGGTTGAAAATTTTCGTGCTTCATTCCTACGCATCAGGTTCGATTCTAACACTTTGCTTTTTGTCATTTATTGGGTTATATGTTTAAAAAAACCATATTTAGACAATATAGATGGAAAATCCCTGGAAAACATGCACGATTCAAGTTCGGCTTGTTCACTACCGCTAGGTGCGCTGGCTGTAGACTACAAACACACGCAACCAAGGCTAAGGGATACAGTGTCTGTCGCGTAACCTTGCAGTTGGATGTCGCCAGGGCACAGCGCGCTGCTGTGGAATCCCGTTCTTCTCCCCACCTGCACGCTTTCGACTCAGCGCAATATCTATGCTATCATTCAATTCTATCTATTTTGCTATCTATCTATCTATCTCTATCTATCTATCTATTTATCTATCTATCTATGTCTATCATTCATGCATAATGTGAACCTGTGACGCGCTTGACCTTGGGGTGAAAGGGCACATGCCCAAAATCATAGGGTTCCACCTACAGTTCTTCAGCAAAGTTTGAAGTTCTAACTTCTAACGGTTGCAAACAAGATATCGAGGCAGACAGACAGACACAACACGCACAACGCCACGCGCCACGCGCACGCGCCGCACAGACGGCACCCGCAGCACGCACACGATACACACCACACACACACACACGCATAGCCCGACTGGGGGCGAGGTGTGACTCGGACCTGAGGGTGTAAGTGGAGAGGTAGACGCGGGGATGTGCGGTTGGCAGATGGAATATCCAGCAGTACGGTACGGATGGCGAAGGTCGGCCTGGTGGGGAGGAAGAGGCCAGGTCACACAGCACACACACACACAACACACACACACAACACCATACACACGCACACAGGCACGCACACAACGGCGGCGAACAATACGTCCCGCTACACTACGTCTAGGAGGATATAAACTACTAATTACTGCGAAGCGCGTTGCCTACATTTTTCCAAAGAAGTCAAACCCCGTTAGTAGAAAACTGACGCGGCAAAAGAAAAATAATCTGTACTAAAGGCTGGTTGCGTATTAACCACTTCAACATATATTAACCCGAATTAACAAACATAGGTGCGTACAAGCATATTTTATATAGGTTTATATGGAATATTTAAGACTTTAAGTAGACGTTAAAATTGTTCAGATCAAAATAGATACAATTCAACATGCAAAGCCCTAAAACTCGCATCATGGATCAATATACTACAAATTCATTACTACAGGTCGCACCGCCATTAGTACGAAACTGACGGCCAAAGAAAAATAATCGGTATTAAGGGCGGGTTCGCGTATTTATATTAGCCTTAATTTGAAAAAGAAAAACAATGCGTATTAGAAGGTGTGTTACAAAGTGTTTTTATATAGAAATGAATATACCGGGACAGAAAATGTCAATGTTAGCTAAGCAGGATTCTTGTATATGTGTCTTAAGTCAATATTTTACTTAAAAGATTACTATGAATCGGGCCAGGATTAGAGACAATCATCGTAGTCTCACTCAGCGTATACGAGGCGAATATGGGCCGAATATTGCCGGAGTGTATATAATATTATCCAGGAGTGAATAATAATACTATAATAATAAGTTATAGCTGAAGAGGGCTATGTCCCCGCGGGTTACTGCGCTGCAGTAGGGTCTGCTATGTCCGCCCAGGGTACTGCCGAACTACCCTGCGTCATATTGTGAATATGGTTAGGGTTAGGATATAGGGTTAGGGTTAGGGTTAGATATACGCTCTGGCAGTACCCCGGTAGACATATAGACCCTCTCAGCGTTACTGCCGGAGCGTACCCTGGTACTATATAATATGCCAGACCGTACCTCGCCTACTCCACTAACGAGTCTATGAGGACAGTCGCACTACGCTACTCCTAACCCTAACCGCTACGCTCTAACCATATCAATATAGTGACCAGGGTCACGTCCGGTATAAAGCCGGACCGGTACCAGGGTACGTTCCGTGCAGTACCAATGGCGGGAATAGACCTATGAGGCATATAAAGTATAATTTATATTAATATAATATTATCAGGAGTGAATAATAATACTATAAGTATAATCTATATTATAATCTATTATTATTCACTCCGGTATTAATTAAGCCGTGGCTCACGGGCCGGTTCCGGACGCGGGAGGCCGCTAGGCTTCACGTGCCGTTATCCATGCTCACAGCAGTGAAGCTTCGACAGCGTACAGCATGCAGATTGGCGCAATGGGACGGCTCTGCTGTTGCCGCCTGTGTGTGTGAGAGAGAGAGAGAGAGGGAAGATGGGAATGTTATGTGTATGTGTATGCGTGAGAGAGAGAGGAGAGAGAGAGAGAGCGCTCAGAGAGGTGTGCTGTGTGTGGTGTGTGTGTGTGTGTGTGGTGTGTGGTGTTTGTGAGAAATTGAAAGAGAGAGAGAGGAGAGAGAGAGGAGAGAGACGAGCGAGAGCGATAGAGAGAGAGAGAGAGATGAGGCAGACGAAGAGAGAGAGAGAGAGAGAGAGAGAGAGGAGAGAGATGAAGAGAGAGCGAGAGAGCGGGAGCAGAGCTGTGCCGTGCGTGGCGGTGCGGTGGTGGCGTGCGTGTGTGTGTGTGTGTGTGTGTGTGTGTGTGTGTGTGTGTGTGTGTGTGTGTGTGTGTGTGTATGTATTAAAGGTTGACTTCTGAAAGGATACTGACGATACCCTTGGTCTCTCACGGTTAGAAGTTTATTGGGTGATGGCTACTGCCACAGAACCACTTTCCCCTCGGTTTTACGATGCATATCAGGGTGGTCCACAACCTAAAATTCAAACATGTAAAACTCGGAACTTTAGAGGAGTACTTTAGATATTATTTGAAATATCAAGAAATAAGTCACTTGCGGCCGCGGGAAGCTCAGGGGTTTTAGATGCTCTCTGGTGCAACCCGAGTCTTATTTTGGAGAATTTTTGCACAAAATTTATGACCTATATGTCAAGAGTCATGAATGATGAGTAATTTTTCATTGTTCAATTTGTATCAGGAGTAGGTAATAGGATAGGGATAGGATATTATCTACTCCTGATTTGTATACTAGTGTGAATGTAACCAGTAAATTGTTATAAAGCAATGTGCGAAAAATGCAAATAAATATACTATAAGGTGAAAGTATATTGATAGAGTGTGTGTAGCATATATGCAAGCTGCGAGTTGCCAGCTGCAAGCTGCGAGTTGTTAATTAAAAAATGGATGAGAAAAACTTCTTCTTACCAAATTTATGGCAAAGATTCTGCAACGAAAGTAAAACCTACAGCAATATGGTTTATAGACTGGCGAATAGAAATGCTATTTGGGTCACCGTCTTTGAAAGTCATGGATTACTGGATTAAGACACTTAATGACCAGGACTGAAGCAGTGATTTATTGGGTGGGCTCCAGGGGCCCGCCCAAGGGCACCTGGCAGGGTGCAGGGGCAGGAAGCTCTTGGATTTTAGCAATTTAGATCCTTTAAGATGGCCGTTTTTAAAGGAATTGAAAAAAACAACTGAAATTGTAATTGCAATATTTGTGAATTCTATGGTAATTTTTTTTCTTTGGATCCCAGAGGTTTAATAACACGCCCCCCCCCCACACAACCAGTGGCGGATCCAGAAGTGAATTCTAGGGGGGGGGGGCGAATCGTGGGAGCTCAAGGGCACAAAGCGCCCGAAGGGGAGGGTGTTGGAGGGGGTGTCCCCCTCCCACGTGTCCCCCTCCCACTGTGTGGAATTGTTAAAAAGTTGCAATGTAAAAGTACTCAATTTTGGACATCTCCCCCGGAAATTTTATTGAAAATTACACCTCTTAGATGCAATTTCCTGCACTCTGAGGCAGCATTATTAAACAATCTTCATCACAATAATATCACTGTTGAGTTGAGTATTTTTATCGTTGGGGACACCAAAGACTAAAATACTTACTACTAAATCTGTGCTATGTACATGTCCTCACTGGGGTTACCTGTGCAGACTTACCTAGACTAAAATACCCTTGCCCTGAAAATTCTAGGGGGGCAACCACCCCGTGCTACCGACCCCCCGTTGACAACAACAGCACTAAAATCATCTCCCCTGAAATTTTGCAGACAACAAAGTGCGCAACAGCGATCAGCGCTCAATCTAACGTCTACTGCGGTGCTCATGTGGTGGAGTGTTGGGATTTCTAGTAAACGCCTGTTTACGTCCCAAATGTGTGTCACATAACCGCCGAAACAGTGGAATGCA